TATTGATAATTACTGACAATAGAAATGCAAAGTCTGGAAACAAAGAGGAAGGATCCTGAGTTGGAAAATATGGCCTTGGTGATAGAAACTATGTTGGCAATCACATGATAGAAGTTTGCAAGACCAATAGCTTCATTGCAAATACCTTTTCAAACAGCATAAAAGACAACTATACCTGTGGACCTCACCAGATGGAATATACAGAAATCAAAGCGATTAATGGAAAAGCTCCATATTACCAGCCAAAACAAGGCCAGGGCCAGACTGTGACACAGACCATTAATTGCTCATATGTAAGTTTAGGCTGAAGCTGAAGAAAATTAAAACAAGTCCACAAGAGTCAAAATATGACCTTGAGCATATCACACTAAATTTAGAGATCATTTGAAGAACAGATTTGATTCATTAGACACTAAAGACCAAAGACCAGAAGAGTTGTGGGATGATATCAAAACCATATAGGAAGAAAGCAAAAAGTCATTGAGAAGACAAGAAAGAAGGAAAAGATCAAAATGGATGTCAGAAGAGACTCTGAAACTTATTCTCCAGTGTAGAGATGCTAAAGCAAATGAAAGAAATAAGGAGGTAAAAGAGCTGAACAGAAGATTTCAAAGGGCAGCTCGAGAAGACAAAGTCAAATATAACAAAATGTGCAAAGACCTGGAGTTAGAAAACCAGAAGGGACGAACAGGCTCAGCATTTCTCAAGCTGAGGAAACTGAAGGGAATATTCAAGTCTTGACTTGAAATAATGAAGGGTTCTATGGTTGAACATTTCAAGATGGCAGCATATGATCAAGAGCCAATGATACTGAAGGAAGAAGTCCAAGGTGCAGTGAAGACATTGGCAAAGAACAAGGCTCCAGGAATTGATGGAATTCAAATTGGAATCTTTCAACAAACTGATACAGCACTGGTGGCACTCACTCATCTCTGCCAAGAAATGTGGAAGACAGCTACATGGTCGGCTGACTGAAAGAGATCTGTATTTGTGCCCATTCCAAAGAGAGGTGATCCAATGGAATGTAGAAATCATTGGAGAACATCATTAATATCTCATACAAGTAAAATTTTGCTAACGATAATTCAAAAGCGGCTGGAAACATACATTGACAGAGAACTGCTAGAGTTCCAAGCTGCATTCATATGAGTACATGGAACGAGGGATATCATTGCCAATGTCAGATGGATCTTGGCTGAAATCAGAGTATACCAGAAAGATGTTTACCTGTGCTTTATTGATTATGCAAAGGCTTTTGATGTTATGGATCGTGACAAGCTGTGGACAACATTGTAGAGAATGAGTATTCTGGAACACTTAATTGTGCTCATGAGGAACCTGTACATAGACCACGAGGCAGTTGTTTGAACAGAACAAGGGAACACTGAATGGTTTAAAATCAGGAAAGGTGTGTGCCAGGGTTGTATTCTTTCACCATACTTTTTCAATCTGTATGCTGAGCACATAATCTGAGAAGCTGGATTATATGAAGAAAAATGTGGATCAGGATTGGAGGAAGGTTCGTTAACAACCTGTAATATGCAGATGATACAACCTTGCTTGCTTAAAGCAAAGAGGACTTAAAATACTGATGAAGATCAAAGACCACAACCTTCAGTATGGCTTGCACCTCAGTGTAAAGAAAACAAAAATTCTCACAACTGAACTAATAAACAACATTCATATAAATGAAGAAAAGACTGAAGTTGTTGAAGACTTCATTTTGTTCTGATCAACCATCAACACTCATAGAAGTAGCAGTGAAGAAATTAAGTGATGCATTGCATTAAGCAAATCTGCTGCACAAGACCTCTTTAATGTGTTCAAGAGCAAAGATGTCAATTTGAAGTAAATTGTGCCCCTGACCCAAGCCATGGTATTTTCAGTAACCTCATATGTATGTGAAATTCGGAGAGTGAATAAGGAAGACCATAGAAGAATTGATGGATTTGGAGAAGAATATTAAAAGTACCATGGACTGCCAAAAAAATAAACCAATCTATGAGAAGAAGTATAGCCAGAATGCTCCCTGGAATTCAGGATGGCCAGACTTCCTCTTTCATACTTCGGACATATTGTCAGGAGGGGGCAGTCCCTAGGGAAAGGATATCTATCATGTTTGGTAAAGTGGAGGGTTGGAGAAAAAGTGGAAAACCCCCCAACTAGATGGAGTGGCACAGTGGCAGCAGCAATGGGCTCAAACGTAGCAGCGATGGTGACATTGGCGCAGGACTGGGCAGTGTTTCACTCTGTTGTGCATAGGATTGCTATGAGTCAGTAGTGATTCAATGGCACCTAACAACAACCACCACCATCTAATACCAGGCCATCACTAAATTTCCCCAGTCATCTAAAACTATCTTTTAAAGTTGGCTTATTTGAAGCTGAATTCACACATTGCATTCAGTTAAGTCTTCTAAAACTTGTTCTATTGATCAAACTTTTTTAAGGCAGTTTATTTAAGAAACCCTGCTTTTTGTCATTAGAATCTGCTTCTTCGTGGTGCCAATTGACTTTTCCTCAGACCTCATTGGCCTATAAGCTGATGGTGAGCTCTAGAAACATGATTAAAGTTAGATGAAACCTCTTAGGTGCTTTCTCACTGCTGAGGATTTGTTAGTAAGTGGTCAGTGGATTCTGCTAGCGTCGACTGAGAGCTGTTTGTATTCAAGCAGAATAGGAAATTTGTCTTTGGGATGAGCATGCGATGTGTTATGTCCATGTGGGGGCAACCCTGACTGCCAGGGGAACTAGAGCTGCCAAACACCATTGAACCCATGGTACACTGCTGAGCTCTGGGGGTCACACAAGGTCCCAACTGGCTTAGGCTCACTGAGCTGAAGCAGGCCACCCACTTGCTTCACTGACCACACTAAGGAAGTCTGACCACCAAGGCATTGCTGCACAGTGAGCAAGGGGGGAACCCGGGGGCAATTGTGTATGTTCATCTCAAGCTATCATCAGAACATAACCCCCCGCAAGGCAGGACCTGAGGGCTGAGGCCAAGCCCACCTGCTCACCACTAGCCTCTGCTCCCCTGCAGTTGAACATTGACAGTTGCTGGGTGGGCTCCTTCTACTGCCCCCAGGACACCTTCACAGCCACCATCTACGACACCATCTCCATGGAGAGCACCCTCTTCATTCGGCAGAACCAGCTCATCTACTATATTACAGGCACCTATTCTAAACTCCAGGTGTACTCCAAAACTGGTGAGGGGCCCATGACCAGGTCATATCATGGGACCCTTGGTATGTTAGAGAAGGGGACCTGCTGTTGGCGTCCCAGGGAGGGCACCTTAGTGAACCCACCCACTAGATGCACCTGGAGCTACCATGGGGTGGCTTGGTGGGGGTGTCGGAAGGGCTTTTCAAAGTCCTGCATCATCCCTGCCCACCCTGCATAAGTCTTCTCTTCCCCCGATAGCCTGGTGTGGAGAATTTCACACTGACCACCCCAAAAATTGTGGACCAGCTGAGAAAAGGGGGGATGTGAGAGTGAAGGGAGGGAGCCACGAGAAAGAGAAAAACACACACAGCCACTCAGGAACAAAGTGTCAGGACAGAATTGGACCAGGGAGGAAAAAAAGAGATTTTTGAGCTTATAATAATTTTTATTTAACTTTTTATTGTGACTTGAGTGAAGGTTTACAGAGCAGGTCATCAGTTCTTTCCATTCATCAAATCCTACACTTTGCTTCATCTCAGTGATTACCATCCCCTTCCTGCAACTACAGTTCTCCCACCTCCTCCCTGTGCCTCCTGTTTCCATTCCACCCACCTTCCCAGCCTGTCTCAACTTTGTCCTTAGGAAACTATTGCCCTTTTTATTTGGAATGATTGACCACCCCATGGTTAGCACACTGTATCAGTGTTGTTGTCCTCCCGTATACCTATCTACCTCTTGACTGAAAATTGGACCACAAGGGTGAGTTCCTTTCCAGACCTGAAGGGTGGTCAAGGGCCAGAGTCTCAGCTTCCTCCTGGTCTTTTTTTTGTTTAAGTTTTTAATTTGAATTGAGTGATAGTTCACATGGGAGAACATCAACTTTACGTTCATCCTATCGTATTTTGTTTCATTGCGATTTTTGCAATCCTCTCCATGCTGCTTCTATTTCCTCTGTGTTATTGGGTTTGGGGATTTTTTTTTTTTTTATGTACACCAAAACACGTAGGAATATACAGTCATCCAAACAACCAAAGGGCACACTCTGCAAGCCTGCCGCCTGGCTGAAGCCTGGTCATTTTTTAAAAAAGAATTTTGAATTTTGTTCCATATTTTCTGCTGCTCTATCTGGGATCCTTTAATGGGATCCCTTTCAGAGCAGTTGGTAGTGGCACCATCTTGAGCTTCAATTTTTTAAGTTGCCCAAGTCTGCTTTGTTCTAGTTCTCTTTTCCCCCTAACTAAATGAAAGAAGACATGTTTTAAAATCATAACCTACATTCCCTTGGTCTGTGCGTATACCCACAAATTTGTTTTCCTTTCTGGCTTTCTGAGGGCACTTTGACAGTGGGAGGAGCCCCACCAAATTGGGCTGAAGCTAAAGAATGGAAACCAAACCATCAAGTTGATTTTGACTCATCGCGACCCCATAGAGAACTTAGACTGTGCCCTAGGGTTTCTGAGACTGTAAATCTTGGTGGGAGTAGACAGCCTCATCTGTCTTCTACAGAGAAACTGGTGGTTAGCAACTCAATGCTTAACCCACTATATACCACCAGGGCTCCTTAAGCCAAACCAAGGGGGGTTGTTTATTGGTTTGCTTAATTGGAAAGCTCAGGAGCAATTAACTTCAGGCACAGATGGATCCAGGGCTCATTGCCAGTATCAGACAGGCCCCACTCTGTGGAGGTTGTGTGTGGCTGCAAGCTGGCGCTGTCTCTGATTTGCCCAGCTTGGTCACATGCTCAGCTCAGAACCATTGCTCTGTCCAATGGAGAGAGAAGGTACGATCAGTTCAATCTGAACTTCATGGACCAAGTGTGAGCCTGGGGAATGTTCTCCAAGGCAGCTGGTGCCCCCAGGGGAGGCCTGCACAGTGATCAAGTACTTCAGCTCCAGAGGGTCAGTTCCAGGTTCCCTAAGGCCAGTGAGATGTGGGGGAAGGGTGGGTCCAGGGCCCAGGTTCAAATGCCTGGGCCCGAGGCCCTATGCTGGCCCCCACAGGCACCTGGACTCGTGTTCTGGCCAACGAGTGCATCAAGAAGCTGTGTCCCGTGGAATTCCATTCCAATGGCTCCGAGTACATTATCGCCCTCACCACTGGCAAGAATGAGGGTTATGTCCACTTTGGGACCATTACAGGTGAGGCCGGGACCTCTGGTAGCCTAAGAGATTCCCTCCGTGTCCTCTCATCTTCAAGAATTTCAACCTTAGCTCTCCTCCTTCACCAGGTACCCTCAGAATGGGTCTCAGACTAGAGGTTGTTCTTACTGGTGGAGGAGGATTTATGCTTTGGTTGGGGTCATGCTAGGTATGACTTCGAAGGGCAGAACCCATTAAAAAATCACTTAAGTACAAAGAGTTTATAGACTTCTGTAAGTGGAAAGACCAGGGTCCAACTTCAGAATGGCTGAGTCTAGGGCTCGTAGATAAACTTTGTCATCAGAACTGCGCAGTGTAGCATAGTGACTACAGCAGATTCTAGAGCCAGATTGTGGTAACACTTCATTTTCCCATCTGCTAACTGGAGTGATCAAATGATAGTAGCTGCTTCATGATGGTGGCGGCTCCGTGCTGTGGAGTCCGTTCCCACTCATAGCGACCCTGTACAGGGTTTCCGAGGCTGTAAACCTTTATGGGAGCAGAAAGCCTCATCTGTCTCCCGCAGAGTGGCTGGTAATTTCGAATTGCTGATTGGGAGCTTAGCAGCTTGATTCATAACCACTACACTACCAGAGCTCCTCAACTACTTCATAGGATTGATATAAAGATTAAATAAATGCAGGTATTTCCCAACTCACTACAGAATTCCGTCTCAACAACTCCATTGTAAATTGGTTCTCATGTAAGTCAGATACCTTTATATATATATAAAGTTTCTCACTGCAGGGCACTGTTTTGAACAGGAAATCATAACCTTGAACATCCTCGAGTGACCATCAGAGAATGATAATATCAGCAAATTATGCAGTGTATTGTATGTAGCATATATTACTAACAAGGTGTAAGCAAACAAAAAACAGGAGGTGGTCAGTAGTAGTAGAGGTGGTCTTGTACCTGGAATACAGTGTAAATCAGGGACTGCCTGTATGAAAGGGCTTTACCAAGTTCGTGGAACACTTCCGTTAGCTTTTCATCCATTTTTTTCCATGAATTTTTTGAGCCCCCTCAAAGTTAGGGATGAGGTAAGCTCTATAAAGAATTATTATTAGCTTTGTGCTTTGGCCTCATTGTCAGCCACGTGCCCCCTTCATGGGGCTTAAAGATGGTCCCCAGGAGCTCAGGACTCATGTACTCCACCAGCTTGAGTCACCTCAAGAGACTGGAGCAGCCTTTTCTTATTCGCTCTAGCCCAAGTCCCAGGGTGCACTTTGATTGGCTCACTCTGGGTCACATGCTCAGACCTCAGCTAACTACTGTGACCAGAGACAGACTTCTGATAGGCCAAGTGTGGGTGGCCTAAAAGCCAGGGGGAGAGATCAGACCCCTGAAATCCCTAGGAACTGATGGGGAGGGACACGGGCATTCAGCAGAGAAAAACCCGGGAGTTGGTGGGAGTGCAGTCTGCCAGGACATGGGTGGTCTGAGCATGGATACCTGCTCTGCTCCCCAGATGGCCAAGTGTTTTTTGAGATGCTGCCCAAGTGGAGGTCTGTGTGTGCAGACTTAAAAGGTATTCCTCACCCGGATGGGCGTGCTCCGGGAGGGTAGAGGGAAGCCATTTAGGGGTGAGTGGGGAGGGGCGTGGAAACCTTGGAGAGGCTAGAGGCATGGGGGTGGGCTCCAGGGGCTGTTCGGGACCATCCCCTTCCTGTTTCAGTGCAGAACTGCTCCATCATATGGGGCATATTCCAAGGGGAGGAAAGGAAGCTGTTGCTGCTAGTGGAGATCGTAACCAACAAGACTTACTTGGTGGTCAGCTACAGCCTGGGTAATTGGGGACCCCATGAGGATGGGGTCCAAATGGGCAGGTCCAGCAAGCAGTGGGAAGGAAATAAAATATTTCTTATGGTGCCCCAGGGTAAGGGAGAGTGGTGAACAGGGTAAAGGCGGCAGTCAGTATGGGTGGGACAGAAAGGGAAAGGGGAGACATACTGGGGAGATGAGCAGAAAACAGGGCCTCACAATGAAGAGACTTCGATTTTATTTTAAGTGAAGCAAGACCAGGCTGCTATGTATAGCTGAATCCTTCAGTCAAGAGCCCTGCCAGGATTGTCTCCTCCTCAGAGGCTGTGCCTTTTTATAATGAATTCTCACAAAAAAGCAGGCCCAAGTGGGAAGCCCTAAGAGAGTTGTGTGGGGGCAGAGTTGGCAGCTGGCGGTGGCTTCAGTTTTGAATGGCCAAGGCCTTGAGGCCTGTCCTGTGCGTCTCCATCTGCAGTAAAAGACAACGTGTGCGTCCTCTACACGCTCCCGGAATACGTCCCTGATGGTATGAGGGCAAGGCAGAGGTGGCCTCCAGTGGGCAGGGGTCCAGATGACCCCAGATGACCTCATTGCTGTGTGCATTCTGTCTCTGCCCTGGCCAGGTCGAGGACTGGAGTTCCTGATGATTCAAGGGGCAGAGTCTTACACCAACACCCCATCGTTGCCCAAGGGCCTGCATTACAATCCGTACAACAACCTGCTGTTCATCTGGGGGAACTTCATTCTGCAGAGGTGGGCCCCCATCTTAGGCAAGCCAAGCAGATTCTGCACCTCCAGGCCCATTAGGTGGCAAAAGAAGGGTAGGAGGAGGTGGGCACCCTGTCTGAAGTTACCAGACCTTTGGAGTGGTTCGAAGTCCAGGCATTATCAGGACCATGGTGGGAACATGTGAGCTAGAGTGGTTAGGGCTAAGATGAGAGGTAGCCACATTATTACAAAGCTGCAGAAGCTTACTCTTCAATGAAACCTTACACAAGGACCCAACCTTTGTAACACAGAGACAGGCCTTGTCTCTGGAAAAGGTTATGATCCTTCACACCGAGCCTCCCTTTCATCCTAGAGGGCCCTCAGCCACGGTCAGGGGCTGTAGCAAACTGCCAGCTTGACCTGCTGCCCCCCATTTCACAGACGTGGAAAATGGCATCTCTTACGAGGCTTGAAAGCCGCTGAGTTGGTTGGGGTGGGAGGCAGCAACTAGGAGCCCAGGTCCCCTCTGCAGGTTCTCACAAGGCTGTGGGAGGAACTGGGAGTTGGTGGGCGCAGAGGCAGGTGTCCTGTAGGGGGTGTTCTCTGGGAATCTCTTAACTCCTTATCATGACCCCTGCAGCTATGATCATGAAAACTACCTCTACCTGGCGGACTTTACTAAGGAGTCCACCATCAAGTACGTGACCAACTCATTCCAGGGGGACCTAGCTATTGTCACTGAGACTGAGGAGGTATGTTGCCCTGGCCCTCTCCCTTGTCCATTCTCCCCTGCCAAGGTAAAGGGGCTCAGGAAAGAAACACCCTCAGGGACTCCAAGGAAGAGCAGCCAAGTTCCACTTACAGTCGAGAACCCTGGAGTTCAGAAAGACTGTGTGTCTTTATGCAAGTCACACAGCAAAGTGAAAGATCCGTGCTCAAAGCCAGGATCTAAATTTGGGAGCCGGCTTTCCTTCATTTCTTCATGCAGTTGTTTATTTCACAAATACTGCCCCAGTGTGGGGACACAGTGGTTCCTAAGTCAGTCCTGGGTCCTGCCCTCACAGAGCTTATACTTATTTGGGAAGACAGACTCATCACCAGATAGTAATTGTGAGTGATCAGATCTGGGATAGGGGAGGCACATTCCGAGGGGTCAGGCTGAGGTGGGGGAGTAAATACCTATCAAAGTTCTTAAAAGGGGGCTGAGTGTGTGTGTGCATCTGTAAGGGTATGTGTGTATATCAGGGAGGGCATACTGGAGTAGGTCCTGAAGGTAGGTGGGTTTAGAGAGGGTCTCCCAGGCTGAGGCTCAGGAGGAAGCTGAGGTCTGGAGTCAGATGTGGTGGGGAGGGTATATATGGGCATTAGTGCAGAGGTGAGAAACTGAGGCCAAGGGGGTGGTGAGATCCTGAGTGATTCAGAGAAAATGAGGGGGTAGCTTTTAGGAATTGTATATGTTAGAACTACTCAGGTTGCCTGTAGCAGAAGTCCTTAATAAAGGGACTAAAACCTTGAAGATGTGTATAATGAAAGTGAGGGCTGAAGCCAGAGGTGGTCAGGATTCTGGGAAGTAGCGAGATAGCACTCCCAGAGAAAGCATGTGGACTCGCGTGGTCCTGGCTGGACTCACCGGTCCCCATGCTGTACACACACACCTTCCAGATCTGGTACCTTCTGGAAGGCAGCTACCGGGTGTACAAGCTGTTCCCATCTGAGGGCTGGGACACGTTCGTCAACCTGCAGAGGATGTGGCATTCACCTCTGTACACCTCCAATGAGACCTTGGTCACCATCTTTTACGAAAACAAAAAACTCTACCAGGTATGGGCTGGAGGGTGGGGGTGGGGCGCCCCAGAGTGGCTGACTCTCAGCTGGCTTGCCTTCCCACTGCAGTTAGTGTACCTTCTGAAAGGCCAGCAGGGCCAGCTGGTCAAGAGGCTGGTGCCTGTGGAGCAGATCCTGGTGTACCTACAGCTCAACAATGGCTACTTCTTGGAGCAGCAAGGGTGAGAAGACCCCGGACCACCCTAGGCACTGCAGTCTTAGTCAGGGGAGCCCGGGGCGCTGCCCTCAGGGAACTCCCCTTCCAGACCTGTGGTGGGTGGCGATGTGGTGATGGTGGGCCCCTGAGTCTTTTCCGACTCTTAGCGATCCTGTATAGAGACTGTTCATCTTTACGGGAGCAGAAAGCTTCATCTTTCTCCAGCAGAGCAACTGATAGATTCAAACTGCTGACCTTGTGGTGTGGTTAGCAGCCCAGTTCATAATCCACTACAGTACCACAGGTCTGTGGTGGTTGTTGTGAAGTGGTGTCGAGTCGGTTCCGACTCAGCGATTCTGTATAGAGTGTCCAAGGAGTAACTGGTGAATTTGAACCACCAACCTTGCAGTTCAAATTGACCTTAGGGTCCAGTGCATTATCCCACAGCATCACACCAGGACTCCCAGGTGGTGGTGGTTGTTATGTACCGTTGAGTTGTTTGCGACTTATCGCAACCCTATCTTGGGTTTCCGAGGAGCGACTCCCAAATTTAGTGAACTTGAACCACTGTGCTTGTGGTTCAAACCAACATTGCAGTCCAGGACATTAACTCACAGTGCCTCACCTGGACTCAAAAGGAACTAAAAAAGGAGCTAACTTTGATGAGAAGGGTGGGCCCAGTAGGGAAGGCTTCCTAGAGGAGGAAATCCATGTGACCTGCAAGAAGAGAAAGAATTAGCTAGGCGGTAGGTGGGGAGGGGTGTTCCAGATAAGGAGAACCCCCTGTAATGCCCTTAAGGGCACTTGGGTGTTGAGAAACTGGGCATACAATGCAAATGGAGTACAGTGATAGTGAGCGCTTATGGGGAGGGCCCCAAAGAGCCATGGCTGGGACTAAGGAGAAAGGTCTACCTACAAGGTCCGATTTGACTGCATTAGAGAGTGACTTCCTCGGGTTACCTGAAAGGTAAGTAGAGTTGAGACTTAGGGGCTGGAGGCCACAGGCCACAGGGGACTGAAAGACTGGGGTGAAAGATGCCTAGAAAGCGGCCCAGGACTCCCACAGGGGGCACTGAGCCACAGCCCTGGATTTCAGTTAGCTTTGGGGAGTCAGCAGCACAGAGGTGGGGAAATTTAGGGCTCTGAGAGCCAGCTGCCCATCCCCAGTACCATTGTTACTGGAATCGCTCTGAAGGAGTTGCCAACGCCACAAGAGTTATAACAAAGGAGGGACGTTATTCTTCTCCAGAGACTGAGCCCCGTTCATAGGGAGGACCTAGGGCATTATAGGGTGAGTGAAGGTCAAACATATGGCAGGGAGGGCCGGAGGGCGTAGGGAGTAAGCAAGTGGGGAGTTTACAGAAGAGGAAGCAAGTAAGTTTTAACCTTGGGGGTTTTGTTATTTCAAGAGGGATCTCTGTATGGGTAGGAGGTTAGCTGTGATAAATAAACCCGTGGGGCTGAGGAGGTCTGTTGCTCAGCTCCTAGAATGTGGACCCTGTCCTTGACTAAGATATGTACTCTGGGGAGTGGGAGTGGGGCCCAGGGCCTGTTCCCACCCGCCTGCCTGTCTCACCATCAACCAGGAACCACTTGACGCCCACCTTTCACAATTTATGCCCTTTCTCGTTGATGCGCCTGTACGAGGTGCCAGACCCGCAGATGTACACGCGCCAGGAACGCTACCGGGCGCTGCCGCCGCGTGTCTTGGAGGCCTCAGGTTTCCACAACCAGCAGTCGCTTGCTGTCTACCAGGGCCTGGTCTACTACCTGCTCTGGCTGCACTCCAAGTACGACAAGGTGGGTGCCAGGTGGCCCATGGGGCCCGCTGAGCTGAGGCTCTCACTTTCAGGGCCAGGTCTTCAGGGGTGGGGCTCAGAGTGTGAAGCTGAAGGGTATCTGAGGGAAGGACGACTGGAGACTAAGGAGGGGCCTGCCTTTAAAGCGATGGGGAACCTTGGTGGTGCAGAGGTTAGCCTTGGCTTACTAACCAAAAGATCAGCAGTTGGAACCCACCAACCGCTCTGTGGGAGAACGATGATGCTGTCTGAAAGATCTGCAACCTCCGAAGCCTATAGGGCAGTTCTCCTTGGTCCTGTAGAGTCCACGACACTGGGTTGGGGGTTTTGAAGAGATGACTTTGGGTTGTGGCCTGGCTGCTGTGGGGAATGGAAGCAGGGCTGGGGGTGGGATGGGTCAGGGTATGTAAGGCCCAGTTTCAGTTAGGGACTGGGCCTGGGGATGAGGCCCACATCTCATGGTACCTGGTGGGGGTGGGGGACCCTGCAGCCATACGCGGACCCCGTGCACGACCCCACCTGGCGCTGGTGGAAGAACAAGAAGCAAGACCAGGTGCATAGGGAGGGATAAGAGAAGGGTAGGGAGGTGGGGGGTGGCCTACCCAACACTGACTTGCTCTGCGTGCGCATCCCTCCCACCTCCTCCCATCCTAGAGTTACTATTTCTACCTGGCAAGCAACCTGCAGAGCGCAGGTGGTGTGTACATTGAGATGGACAGCTATGAGAAGATCTACAACTTCAAGTCCAAGAACACGCTACCCAAGCGCATCTTCTTAGACAAGGGCACCACCTACAAATTCTCCATCTTTCTCACCGCCCAGACACACTCCCAGAAGGCGCAGGGTCGGTGGGCAAGGACTGCCCAGAGCCGAAGGAGGGCTGGGGGCTGGGACCAGGGCAGTACTGGAGGGAAGGGTCAGATCATCTGTTGGATCTGGGACGTGGGTCTTAAGCACTCCCTTTGCCTGGAGCAGGCACTTCCTTCCTGAAGAACAAACTGAGCGTGGGTGTTCTGCTGGCCAACCCTGACTGCATCGGGGTGACTGTGAGACAGATTATCCTTACTAGTCACAACTTCCTGTTCCAGGTGAGACCCAGTGAAGAAGTGCTTCCAGGCTGTAGAGAAGTGTCAGTCTGCTCCCTCTGAGGAGGAAACGGAAGCCCACCATTTCTGTCCTCCCTTCCCCAACCAGGTTGTGCTCAGAGATAAAAGCGTATGCTTTGACCAGGGCATCAGTGGACATCACCTCAAGAGAACCTCAATGCTGGTCAAGGTGTGGCCCAAGCCTGGAGGGTAGGGACGTGAGATGAGGGAAAAGCTGAGGCCCAGGAGGCCCATCTTCCTCCTCTGTTCCTACTTGCAGGTGGTGGGCTCCCCTGGGAACTGTTTCCAAAACACCCACCTGGGACCAAGCATGCAAGTATGGAGCTTGGGCCTGGTGCTGGGAAGAAAGGGGTGGAAATGGGTGGTCTCCATGGGGTTGAAAAGGTGTTGAAAGATTGAGGGGCCTGCTTGCCTGGTGCTCATCCCAGGGGTCCCTCAGATGCAATCACAGATTTTCTTCTCACCTTCACTGTTTTCATTCACTTACCCACCCACTGCACTCATTCATTCATGTGTTCACAGAGGACAGCCTTTATAACCATGTAGTGTGCATACAGCTTGGTCAGTCTTCCTGACACTTCTGCCGGTGGACATCAATGTCACAAAGAAGGCCAGCGTAGCTCTTCTTTGACCCCATTGCTCTGCATTTGGCAGGCTTGGTGGTTCTTTTTGGGTCATTGGTTCTGCACTAATTTATACATGCTAACACCCCTTTGTGCTCAGAGATGTGCGGGTAATCCACCCAGAGTGTCCCAGGCTGCAGTAAGTGGTCAAGGAGAGAGGGTCTCACCCTTTACCCTGCCCTATCCCTTCCACACACCCTGATGTTTCTCCTTTAGCATGATCATGATCATGGGCAACCCCAGCTTATTGCAGTACATGAGCGAATCCAGGTCAAACGCCTTGGAGAGAACCTGGTCTCAAGCAGGCAATAAGTGTTTTCCTGCTCTCCTCAGTAAGGGTGATTACTGTATGGCGCTGTGAGCTAAGTATTGGGCTGCTAACCACAAGGTCAGTGGTTCAAGCCCAGCAGCCATTTTGTAGGAGAAAGATAAGGCTGTCTGCCCTGGTAAAGACTGTTAAGACGTATAGTCTTGGAACCCCATGAAAGTAGGAGCAGAGGAGGAAGATAGGCCTCCTGGACCCCAGCTTTTCCCTCATCTCATGTCCCTCCCCTCCAGGCTTGGGGCACACCTTGACCAGCATCGAGGTTCTCTTTCCAAGGGGGCTCCCCTCCGCCCCCGCCCCCAGGTCCCTGTGATTTAGAATCCATGTGATGGCAGTTCGTTTATTCTCTGGCTGGGGCCTTACAGGTCTCGCATCCTTTTCCTTCCCTACCACCATATAACTAGCTCAAGAAACGTGTGTTGGAAAGATCTAGAGCCTCCCCTCGGCTCCCCATCCTGGGGAAAAAAAAGGAGATGAATTAATGATACACAGTGGGTTGTCAACCAGTAAATGTTTTGGATGAAAAGGAATAAATGAATTTACATGTAATAGGATAAACACTGGACTGAGAACTACGAGGTCTGCAGTTTGAGCCTGCCAGCTGCTTCACAGGAGAAACATGAGGCTTTTTGCTCCTGCGAAGATTTAAAGACTCAGAAACCCTGTACAGGGTCACGATGAGTGGGAACCGACTCGCCTGCGCTTAACAACAGGGACTCAATCAGCTGTGGCGGACGACTGGAGCTTTTCTGGGGCTTTTCTGGGGTTGAGGACCAAGAAGCTCAACCAGGAATAGATTTCACTCACTCAGTTTATTCACTCAGCCAACATTTACTGTTGTTAAGTCAAGTTGGTTTCAACTCATAGC